TTATTCCGTATGTAATTTATATCTAACCCTTAAAAATCATCCCTATATTAAATATTTCTTGTACATTTGGTAAATGCTTGCCTAGTCTTCTAATTATTGTAATTTAGGTATTTTTGATAACGCATTCCTCCCATCCTACAAAAGATTTTTGTTTCTTTAGAGGCGAGAAAATCTTTCTATGGTTTCTCATGCCATAAGAGAAAGGAAACAAAAAGTGGATATTGTTAAGACTTAGGTAGTCGACCTAAGTATTATCTAATTCCACTTTTCGATCAAAAATCACACCGTTTCGAACTGAGTCACAGTACACCGCTGTGCTTAACTCGCAACCCCGGCCGGGTTTACTTGCCCGCTTTATTTCGATTATGATCTATCGCCGTTTTAGTGGCCCCAAAGCTAACAGTACATTTGAGGCATCATGTAGCGGCACTATCACGTCGCTACATTACTTAGATACGATAGAGATAAGACATACATGTTAATTGTTGCACGTTTGTTAGGATAGCTAAATCTGAAAATCTCACGCATCTTCTTAGTATATAAGCTCCAGCAATTAAAGTAATAAACAGACCTTAACCATCTACAGTCTCATTATTTACCTTGCCACGAAGTCTGGCAAATTGGTGACCCCGACGAAGAACAATCAACATGACTCATTCACCCTGCAAATCAAGCAGCAGCCAACAAGAAGCATTGGAGATATCAGCCGGAACCGCCATTTATCCCGTATTCCGGAATTTTGGAGGGACCAACCCAGATTATGGTTTAAGCAACTAGAAGCCATAGTAGCACCACAGAAGCAAGGAGACGATTACAAGTACTATACGGTCATTGCAAAACTGCCAAAAGAAGAAATAATACAGGTTAGTGACCTCATTACTTGCCCACCGCCAATAGAAAAGTACAAGGCTATCAAAGAACGCCTAATCAGTTGCTATGAGGAATCAGACCAACGTCAGCTCCAAAAATTATTGTCTGAAATGGATCTCGGCGACCAGAAACCATCACATCTTCTGCGCAAGATGCGGACCCTGAGTAACGGAAATATCAGCGACGAAACCATCAAACTTCTATGGTTGAGGCTTCTGCCACCATCAGTGACTTCGGTTCTAGCAGTCACAGAAGACATAGATGTGAACAAGATGAGCCAGATCGCGGACAAGATATTAATAAATTCAACACGTACAGAGGTGTCAGCTGTAAACGGAAACAAATCTGGCGACGATACAATGTCATGCATACTAGCACAGTTAGCAGAAATGCAATTGGAACTAAATGCAATTCAGCAAGGTCAAAAAAACTATCGACGCAGCACTCAAAGTTATTCCAATCGTCGGCATTTCCTACCACAGTCAAGTTCAAGAGAAAGAAGGCACTTTTGTTTTTACCATGGAAGATTTAAAAAATATGCACAAAAGTGTGTTCAACCTTGTGATTGGAAACAGGATCTCAACTCAAGGAAACAGGGAAACTAATTGAAGCACGGACAACGGCGGAACTCTGTGCTATTCACCCGTCCAACCGCCTCACTATTACCGACCGAAAAAGTGGTATGAGATTTTTGATTGACACGGGAGCAAATATTTCAGTTATTAGCAAGCCACAGAGACATTCACTAATACAAGATGAACAATGTATACTTTATGCCGCCAATGGTACAAAAATTAAGACATATGGTGAAAAAACACTCTCTTTAAACTTCGGGCTACGAAGAAACTTTGTATGGAACTTTGTCATCGCCGATGTAACACAACCGATTATTGGAGCAGATTTTTTAGAGCATTATAAGCTATTAGTCGATATAGCTGGTCGAAAACTCATAGATAGGGTAACTGAGCTGACAACGCCCGCAACCCTGATCAAATCGACGCAGCAAACAATCCGCACTATTAACATTGAGACGAATCCACGCATTACTCAACTATTAAATGAATACGAGGATATTACGAAACCAGCCTCCCTCCACACTACTCCAAAACACAAGATTAAGCATCATATTATCACTAAAGGACCACCGGTATCAGCACGTGCAAGACCATTACCTCCTGATAAATATCATATAGCAAAGAAAGAATTTCAGACTATGATGGAGCTTGGCATTTGTCGCCCTTCGGACAGCCCATGGGCTAGTCCTTTGCACATGGTTAAGAAAAAGAACGGTGAAATGAATCAGCACAAATGCAGTGGATAGTTCATCGACTGCCGCCGCCGTCACAACAAAGGCAGCAGTTTTTATTTCCTTCGAATTAGCAACAATGACATTACATTACGCATAGGATGTAATTTATCAGCAAGGTTAAGTTATTATATAATTAGGTACATACTAATTTTTTTCAATTTATATGTTAATTATTTTTAAAAGGGGGGAGTATATGTAGCGGCACTATCACGTCGCTACATTACTTAGATACGATAGAGATAAGACATACATGTTAATTGTTGCACGTTTGTTAGGATAGCTAAATCTGAAAATCTCACGCATCTTCTTAGTATATAAGCTCCAGTAATTAAAGTAATAAACAGACCTTAACCATCTACAGTCTCATTATTTACCTTGCCACGAAGTCTGGCAAACATCACACTAAAATAATTGGCCCTTGATTGCGCAAACGATGGTATACGAGATGGTACAGTCATCAACTTACTGTTGTATAATTAAATTGATATTCCTGTGTCGTTATGTAAGTTCCTTCTGTGTTTGATAGCCTTATAAACAGTTAGGTTGTGTTCCTTTTGCAGTCTTAACATTAAATAGAAAGCTATTTTAGGTTGATTAAGATGAGAAATATGATGAAAATTAAATAATATTTTTGAGTTTCGTGTAAAACCGATGCCCTGTGGAGCCGATGCAGTATAACAGTTTATTAAAGCTAAAATTATCAAGAAATATTTAAGTCTCATAAAATTCAAATCCTTTTTTGTTTTCTGTATTTACAGAATCATTGTTCCGCGAAGATAAGTAATTTCGAATTCATTGAGTTGCATTTTTATTTTTCATTTTATCGGTTTAAGTTTTAACAAATTGTCTTCTAAGAATTGCTCTCGTACAAAATACAGACAATGACATTACAATTTTACTTTATAAGGACCAAAATATTGACTTCTCAAGTCAATCTTCAATCTTGGTACTCAATCTATATGCCAAAAAGCTCTACAAATGTTTGTTCCGCGTGATTGATTGCTTCTGAGTACTGAGGCTTTGGTGGTCCTTTGAGACGCCAAAGACCAAATTCCGTTCAAACGCAAACAGAAGTCTTGGTTACCTAGAAACTACGGGTTGTGTGTGAAATTGAAATGTCGATCAAAATGTTAAAATATGTAGTAGGTATATAAGTTTACGGTTTTGCTCCCGTCATTTGACTACCTACACTATCTACTTTAATCCAACTCTACACTACATATGTTCTCCTGGTTCTAAACTACAACCCCACCAATTCTCAACGAAATCGGTTCAGCCGTTCTTGAGTTGTTAACAGATAATATTAGTTAATGTTAACGATTTATCTCCTAATAAGATATAAGAAACACTATCATTATTTTACTGTGAACAACAAAAGGTAATACTTTTTATTACCTTCAAGAGCCAAGGTAAAATCTACTCTATCAAAAGAAAAACAAACACTAAAATGACAAAAAAAAATTAATATTACTTTACAACCTTTTGTCGCTAAGAATTCCTTTTGGCGTATAAAGACGTTCTCTAGAGCCCTTCGTTGAACAACCATTGTATTGTTCTACAGATTTGCAACACCAATTTATGTGAGTGCCAACTCTCTTAGCTTCTTCTGAGCTCCTGGTACTTGGGGCAAAGCACTTGATATTTGTTGGGTAAATATTTTTTAAATAACAATTTACTTATAAGAAGGTTTTAGTCGAAATTTAATTTGAGATGACTATTTTTTTTCGCTATCTTTCGGGTAAAATAGTACAAGCTGACTTAGTCAAAAGCCCAGCTTATCAACTTTTCTCTTTTGATGTCAAAACTATTACTGTACCTAATCATTTTAAGGATTTTTTATACAAAATTTTGCCTCACATTAGAATTTTCTTCTGTGTGTTCTGTTCCTGGTCTGGGTATGATGTACATACACATCATACCCAGACCAGGAACAACAATTTGTGAATCACACAGTTGTTCCGTGCGGGAATTGAACCCATGATAGTTGCCCCAGCTACCGGGCCAACCGTGCTGTCAAATTATTGATACTAAACATTATATTCTTAACTCCGTATCTTTATTATGAATTTTCATAAAACGAAATCCAATTTCTAGTGGGAGATGGAAGTCACAATCTCATAAAAGTGTTCTCAAAACCAATTACCAAAGCCAAAACACACACAGAAATTAATACTACTATACAAAGGAATATAAGCACTAATAACAATGTAATTAGCACTACATTACACTACAACTAAGCTGGAAGCTCGACAAGCATAATAGCACAAGTTAAGTTGCAACTAACTAGTCATGATGAGCTCAAAGTTGAATGTAAATTCTGTTCCCGAGTTTCCAACGTAAGCGTTCATGCTTCACATACTACAGCACACGGGAAAGTTGGAATTTAGACGAGTAGTGGAATTTCTAGAATGTGTGACGCGTATGGGATGGAATGGGTAGATTCGCAAAGTTTTTGGTCCTAATTTCGGCGAAGAAAATATTTTGTATTCTAGGTAATTTCATCGCTAGGCAAATTAGCATTAACATTATGAAGTAAATCTAAGGTCTTTTTTAAGGTTTTAAAATATATTTACTAAAACGCTACAAATAACTGTATAAAAGAAAGTAACGTTTTCATTTTACTTTCAATCTATAATATTATTGATATGTATGATTTAAGCATGTCTGATACTAACTCTCGCTCCACCAAGGGATTAGATGGTTACTTAGTCATTAGATGGTTTTCCCATCTCAAAAATGCAACGTAGTTCTATCACACCAAACAAAAACCACTTCATCACGTCTAACCTTCATATGTATCTATAATTCAGCAAATACTTACAGATCTGGTTCAACATCAGTGTAGTTTCCCTCTGGATCTACAAGCCCCACTCTTATGGTGGGAAGAGTTTCATCTTCATCATCTTCTACTTCTCCTCTTGCCTCTCTTGCTTCTCTTTCTGCTAATGCTCGAGCTGCTATTACCTGTTGATAGAGAAGAATGTGCGTTATGTTAAGGCTGGTAAACTACATTTTACTATTCAGACCAACATTTGAAAAAGAAAGTTTAGTTTTAACAGTAGAAAATTGAGGTATTCTTCTTTCAGAATTGATAATTCATATATAATCATTATGTAATAAGTATTGTAATAGTGACGAAATTAGGTTTGGATTCTTTTTTCTCTGAGAAAATCATTTTAACACCTTAGAATTGTGAAACTTATTACGTTAAAGTCCATTTTCCACAAGAAACCATAAAAATACCTCTATTATGTATACAATAACAATGTCTTATAACCCCGCACGTTTTACCTAACTCGACGAAATTAATGCACTGTCACTCTTCCCGCATAGAAACTACAACAGCAACTAATGCTTTTAAGCATACGTAATGCAAGACAAACGTTCCAAACTTGAATTCTCATGTTTCACTAAAAACTTTTATTTTGTTAAAAGGAGGTTTGTGACAATTTAGACTAGAAATAGAATTTTATTAACTGTTTTGGAGTTTTTCATTTTTAAAATTGGAATGTAAAAGAAATTACAACGCATTTTTTTAAATAAAATCGAGACGACGATGATCGACCTATTGTCACTTCTAGGCATCAAAGGCTTTACAAGCTGAACTGCCAAAAGGTCTTCCTTCCTTTCCTTGGTTTTGGTCCTTTTTTAAAGTACAAACCGCGACATACTTTGTCCAATGTCACTAATATTTGAGCCTCTAGTATGGCTTGAAACTAGTAAAGTTTCTCGTCAAACTGTCACTTGAGTAAGCCGTAACATAATAATTAATTTAATATGTCTCAAGAAAATTATGGTAGTACCTACATAAGCTTTGGCTCTGTGTCAGAACCTTGTTTAAGTTCCATAGTCTTTAAAAGACTCCAAAAGCTTAGATCGCCCTTTCCAGTTCCTTTGTTTTTAGTGTGATTTTAATTTGGTGGACTTTTGGTGACTTTGGCTTTATTATCCATGTTTTTCCCTGTACAAGTGTACATATTTCATTGACAAAAAAATCATTGGCTTATTTGTAACTATCCCCCACCCCGGCTTCACAAGCGTGCAGTGCCGATTCTAAATTTCTCTACCATTTAATGGGTATTACTATACATGTAAACCTCCCTCTTCAAACACTCTATCCATTATAAAAACTAGTAGTTTTTGAGTTATAAGCATACCTAGGGATATAGGGACAGAGAAAGAAAGCAACTTTGTTTTATATCTCTGATTACTCTTACAGACAGTATAATGTTCTTAGACTAATTTACTTAATTGCTGTAATACAAGATGTCATTATTTTAATGTAGAAAATGTTTCTCATTAGGAGACTTAATGCCTAAATCTGTACATGTAATGACAAAGGTTCGTCCCCAATTAAAAAAGGACTTGTAGCTTAATTGTAGAAATTGTATTACAACCCTTCTTTTGCTCTTCAGTCAGATGGGTGGGATATATACATACATTATGTTAGAATTGTTTACTATGAAGATTTTGTGGGAGTTTTATGAACTAAATGTTCATAATATAAAATGTTTCAGTTGACAGAATATGTACTCTGGTGGAATAGAGAGAAACGTAGGTAAGTAAATTTATTTAAGTGTGGGAGAGCTAAGCAACTGCACTAATGGGCGCCGTGTGAGTGGAGCCGTTTCCTGGACGTCCAATCCTTCACCTACCCCATCCCTCGCCAATCTCTAAATCTCCAAAACCTTAAATCTTAAAGCCGGGTCAACGCACTCGTAACTCCTCTGGTGTTGCGGGTGACCATAATTTTGTAATAATCTAATTTTATTAATTTTTCTTTCATCGTCTGATGAGATGACAGAAATATTTATATCACGTACGGTATAACTGAAAATCTGTCGAATAGCTATACAATATCTTCTACTTTCTCTTCTTTTTCTCGAATATTCCAATCCTCCAAGGATCAGATGGGGTTAATCAAAATGGCTCCTTACCTGCAACCGCCTCTGTGCCTGCGGTGTGATCTCCACCACCCTGGACCATCGCCGCGACTTCCTCTCATACTGCCATTTGTCGCTCAAAGCGCATTGCTCATCGTCAGAGTCGTTCTGTTGACAAGATAAAAATTTTGTTAGTTGAAATCAAAGTTAAAATCATTTATTCTATTTACACTTCACTTAACCGTAAAAAGGTACTTTTGAAACGTCAAAATATATAGTCTGTCAGTCTGTGTCTGTTGTCTGTTGGACTGGTCTGTTGGCTCTGTAAACAGTGCCCGGGTCTGCTTCTTTTCGGGCAGTGAGCTACTCTTGTTCGCCATTCGCAGATCCGTGCTGACAGTGGATAAGTAGAGGTATGACTGAGGCAGTAAATTATGACGGCGAATAAAGTTTACCTTTAGGTATATCACGCTTTCAAACAAACAGAACTCTCCAAATATAATAACAATCAAACTATCTACCTCATGAAGAGTAAATAAGAAGAAGAAACGTAACGAGTCTAATCAAATAACGATTGAGACCGTATAACTGGATTACCACAAATTATTTTACGAGCTCGCCCGCCGGTTTTCGTAGTTCATTTTAATTAAATGAATCTTTTACCATTGCGTACTAAAGGCGTGTTGATTGCTTTCATTGCTTTCAATGAAGTTCTGTATAGAGAGTAACTTGTTGATGTAGATGGATTAAGTCATTTTGTTGGTGTCTTTCAGGTTTTTTTTGTTTGTACCTACAGTATTATTGTGTGTTTTTCTTTAACGATCAATCGTTTTGTTTTTGTTAAACTAGTTAAACTATATTGTGTTTGTTGTCTGTGTTTGATTAAGATACTTTTTAAGATTAATAACACAACGGTGACAGACGGTGAAGGAAAATATAGTGTAAAAACCCATCCTTGTAATCGCCAATTTGCCTTAGGCAAACGTGGTGATTAATGCTCATTCTTTCTTCGGTTGAGAAAATACCTTTGCTAGATAGATATTAAAATTAACAGGCTGATGTGGTTGACATTTTTTTGGTTTTTTAATCACTGTCCCACACTTTGATTTTCTCCGGTAGCTTACACAAATTATTGTTTCCGGCGCGAATGGAATGGAACCCTTACACTTTACACGGCAGCCAGTTGCTTCAACTATACAGTCGTCAAAAATATATATTTATATATTTTTAATAAAAACGTTGCCCCACACTAGGATTTCTCCTGTTTCGTGGATGCGGTTACAAACATACAATTTCACATGCACATGACACCCAGACCCGGAACAACAATTTGTGGGTCACACAAATAGTTGTTCCGTGCAGAAATCGAACCCGCGATACGTTGCTCGACAGCCAGTTGCCCAGCCACCGCACCAACCGTGCAGTCAAAATAAATCAGTCTTTATAATTGTATAATAAATCTTTAATCATCAAAAACCAGACAGCGTGGCATTAAAACAGACATACTACTGTATAGACTAAGCCATTCTTATTATATAATTTTTATTTTAAATGACGATGCATTTACAACTTAAATTCAAACTATTCAATACAAAATTATTATTGTACAAATCGCTTCATTTAATTATATTTACCTGCCAACACTTTTAACAAGCTTTACAAATATCATGAAGGTGGCTTAATGGGTAACAGTGGTGATCAATTTGTTACCGTGACGAGCAAAGTTGGGTGTCAAAATTATCATTCAAATAAATGGCTTGGTGTTGATATAATATTTTGATGTACCTAAAGAGATTTCTGTTATGAGGTTTGGTTTGTTATATTGTCATGATTTTTACTATGTGATAGGTCGTCAAGCGAGCAGACGGACGCTCATGAACACCCGCAATATCCGAGGAGCATATAAAATATTACTATACTATTTTAAGGACTGCGTCTCCTGCATGCGGATTAAAACCCTAAATGTGCCTTTTTCGAGTTACAGGTTAGTAATATAATAAAATGGTGAACGAAAACACCGCTAAGAAAAACCTGGACTTGCCATTTCTACGAATAAGTTTGAAATCACTAATCTGCCTTGAGAAAGCGTGGCCATTCATGCTACAACCTTCGCCGTGTGAGAATAGGCCTGTACTCAATAGTGGGCACTTATAGGCTGATGATATGTGGTTCTTTCTTAAAATTATTATACGCTCTGCCTTCTAATAATTAGAGGCGTGATTATAGCACAAGATAAGAAACTAAGATACAGCCTATAAATACCAGAACACGATCAAATGTGTTATAATTAGCGCAATAATTACACTCGCTATAATTCAAGGACATGAAATTTAATAGCACTCTAATTGGCTCAAGATAGCAAAGGTTAAATGGCAAAAGACCACGGTGTTAGGCTGTGTGCATATTGGATATTAAAACGTGTTTTTTTTTGTCTGGATCGGACTTACGAATTCATTGCCGGCCTTTTGGGGATAAGGGTTTCCCATATATAAGGATAAGGGAGAGATGGGGAAAGGGGAAGGATTGGACCTCCAGGAACCTATATTTATTCGGGCCTAGAGTACACCTTTTGGGAAACACAGGCAACGGATTCTCGAGAGATGATCTCCGGCCACCGTAAGCGCGGGTCTGCGGACGGCGAGTAAGGGTAGCTCGCCGCCCGACCAGAACCGGACCCGAGCGTACGGCGCGTAGCGTTCCGCGCGCGCCTCAAAGAGCCAATAGACCACCACAGTCGGGGCCCTAAAGGGCTGATGTTTAGCCGGGGCTGCGGGGTAAGCGCAATGAGGCACCGCGACCTCGGCCCAGAGCAGGAGTTTTTAGTCAGTAAGAGTTTGACACTCTCTCTCGCCTTACCCTGGGCGGGAGAAGTCATTGGATGATTTTCCCCTGACAAAAAAAAAACAAAAAAAAAGGCAACGAATTCTACTAATAGCATCGTGCTTGTGTGTGTGTGTGTAGTAGCGATAACATTATGCCAATTAATTGTCTTGTAGTACGATGGAAGACTTCCAACCAAAAAAAAGTTTTTTCATTCAGCACTTTATTAATTACTTAGGTTTAAAGTATTGTCTGATAGATTGTATAAAAGATAACATATTTGAATTTAGGAAACCTATTTCAAACAAACCGATTAAAGATAAAATCTTATATATAAAAATGGATTGCAAAATGTGTTGGTAAGCGCATAACTCCACAGCGCCTGGACCGATTTTGCTAATTCTTTTTTTTGTTGTGTTTGTTATTGTCATGAGAAGATTCTTATCAAAGAAAATATTATAAAAGTAGAGGGGAAGATTAGGAAAAAGTGACCCTTTGATAGCGAGATAGCTTTGGACCCGTGCGAAGCGGGGGCGGGCCGCTAGTACCAAATAAATACAAATTAAAAACTTCTATATAATATCATGATCGACAAATTTACACAAACAAAAAAGTAGATAATTTTGGTATTCCCAATCTATTAATTTATCATTCATCATATAAATTTATACAGCTCTATGACTACACTACCTAAGGCTAACAATGATGGAAGTCTGTCTGCGCGATATGATCTCAGAAAGGTTAAAACAATTATGTTGTACCTACCTGCCTACACGAGCAAACACATGTTTATTACCTCATAATAGTCCTCTTATAACTTTGTATTACACTACATAACTTCATAACATACATTCTCTGAAGGTGTAGGCAGAAATGGGCCATCAATTTTTTACAGTTATTTTGTTAATTGAGGGTCTGTGGACAGCAAGGGTAGGGAAGGGCAGACTAGAACTAGCTCCGAATTGTGTCGCCATCCGCGTGCCTTCCCGCGCCTACAGATCCCCATCTGTGGTGGTCTACTAGCGCCGATGTCCAGTCGTGTTGAAGAATTTATCTAGATTCGAGTCAGATAGAAGGAAGCCGCGCTTTGACTTCTGAGGAGTTTTTCGAAAATCCAAAAACTCCCAATAGATAGATACTTATCTACTAATATTGCGTTACCTATATTTATTTACCAATACTTCGATTAAATGTACCAGGACCACATAATTGAAAAGGAGATTCATAATTTTCGATCTCCAAAATACACGTAGGTAGTATTTACCTTACAAAGCGGGAGTCTATTGACATACACATTTCATTTGCACACTACTGAATCAAGGGATAATTCAAATTCAGTGGAATGACTAAGAAATTGGAAAAAGAAACACACACACATATAGGAACATGTTTTCACGAATGGGTCGGCTCGACCGGAGTGATACCACAGAATATCGGCGTGAAACAACCCACAGCGTTGTGTTTCGCCGTGTGAGTGAGGTTACCGGAGGCCTAATCCCTCCCCTTCCCCAATTCCTTCCCAATCCTTATATCTGCAACCCCTATCATCAAAAGGCCGACAACGCACTCGTAACTCTTTTGGTGTTGCGGGTGTCCATGGGCGGCGCCGATTGCTTACCATCAGGTAATCCGTCTGCTCGTTTGCCGACTTATACCATAAAAAAATGTATTCTTGCTCATTGCGACCCTTCTATAAAAATGCATGATAATATTGAACAAAAGTACCAGGCTCACATAATCGAAAAGGAGATTCGTAATTCGAACATCATCGATTAGCTTAAGCTCCATAATACGTGCGGTATTACCTTACAAAGCGGGGATTAAACGGACATTGTATCCGCACTCTGCTAATATTTGGGACCCAGGTATTGCGAATTATCGTATTATGGTAATGTATGCTGATAAGTACCTATAATGATTATGTTTTGATAATGCGGATTTGGTGATTGCGAATAATACAACAAATTGGTGTGAAATACAAATCGAAAAATGGAATGATAATATCGGTTTCGCGGGTTTATTTTGTTTATCACAAATGTTAATCCACGAAAGAGGTTAAAAGGTACACAATATTGTTATGTGTGTACTATAAACAGTTTTATTCAGTTATAAGTACGTCCCATGTTGATATAGTGTGAGTTTAAAATCTTATATTGGGTAAAAATTTAGTCATAAATATGTTGATTGAGTGATCATAGTGATTTATACTTTTTAAACAGACTGAAATAAGATAAAATTTTGAGGAATGACTACAACTTTTATGCAAAAAACTTATGACGTGCAATCTCCGAATGATAAGCTCCGATATCTAGTCTACGAATATCGATTCCATTTCCATAAAAGTGACA